ACCTTTTCTTATTTTCTATATTAAAGGAAAAAAACATCGTTCACATGTATTACATGTTTAATATGTTTTACAACTGACATTTCTGATTTCACATACTGTTGTCAGAAGTCTTGAAAGACTTTGAACTAGGGGACCTGGGAATGAATTACTATGTGGTCTGTCTTGCTCACCTTTCAGGGTATCTGCACTTTTTACTGCTTTTGATCTGTTTTGTTGTAAAAAATTCATAATAATGCAAATGATTCCTGTCCATAGAAATGAAAATTATTTCTGTCCAGTGCCACTGATTTTCACTCCATAGAGCGACCCTTTTGCACCTGTCTTTGTAAATTCATTTCAGCATTTCTGACAGCAGCCTACATAACTGTGTCCCTTGAATTCTCCTTCCAGCCATTTGTAACTTTCCAATGGTCTTCTCATCTATTAATGGGTTCAGTAAGCTATTTCATTTGTGTTTGTTTTTTATTTACATGAGATTCTACTATTTGAAAAGTTATCTCTTAATACTATTAGGTTTTATATCGTATCCCATTTTACACATTAGCCTTCTGTTTCTCCCTTTCCAGGCCACAAAGAAGAATCTAAACTGTAGTGGGTGCATTAACAGCCCACACCCCACATGACACTACTATCATTTAATATGAATAGGTCTATAATGCTGAAGGAAACCTTAGAGATCACAGATTATCAAGGGCTATCTCATTTTACATATATGGAAGACAATACCCAGGGAAGTGAGGTGATGGATATAAAATCAAAGTCTGGTTAATAAGAGAACCAGCAATAGAACCCAAGTCCCAACATGTTTTTTATTTGCTTTATTTCCCTGTCCATGGTGCCACAAAAGGAAAGGAAAATTACAAGATTTCAAAAGCCTAGTCTACTGATAGTAATCTTAAATATAGCAACATTCTTCTAAGCTGGAAATTTAGTGTCTATTTAACAAAAATATCAGTACTTCTTTAAAACCTAGAGCATCCAAAAGATATACCAGACCACACACACTAATGAAAAATAATAGAGTGCACAATTTTGGTTCCAGTCAGTTAAATCTCTACAATCTCATTTTTCTTCATTATTTTCTACTTGCTTATAAGGATCTACTTCATTGTAAAGGATAAGCCTTGAAATGTAACATTACTAAGATTTAATAATTTTTAGTGCGTGAATCAAATAGCCTTTGATGAGCAAAGGCTATTTTTCTCTAGGTAGATGGTTGCTGGTCCAATTACAAGGGGTATCTTAGAACAGGTACAGTTTATCTAGGGAAAGTTCATAGTCCAATAAAGGAATACTCTTGACAATCTTGATTGTGTAGAGAGGGTTCAACAGCACCAGAAGCTTGTGTAGTTTGTGCATGAAAAATATGATCAAGCAGCAATTTGATGAGTAATTTATATATACAGACTGGTTGGCAAAATACACAAAAAATTTACAGAAGCAGATAAGGTGGGTGGCAAAAAACAGGGTCCACAACCGAGAAGTGGCAATTATTATGTCCCTAGACCCAAGACTCCATGTCAGCAATGTGGTGGGGCCTGCATAAAGCAACAGTTCTTGTCTGGCATGCATGTGGCAATCAACATACATGGTAATTAGAGAGTAGAGATAAACACACTCTAGGACTGGGGCTTGGGTGAGTGAATGGAAGCCTGAGGTGTATCCTTTAAGAAGGCAGTCCTTTGCACAACTCTGATGGTGAGTGTCCCCTTAAGAATGAGATGCTGCATTAAAGCAAATCAATGGGATGAGGACAGAAACAGCAGAACACTAGGAAATCAGAAAACCCCTAAAGGGGCAGTAAGGGGAACTCCTGGAGCAGCAGTAAGTAAGGCATGATGAGAGGTATGATTTCTTGTTGAATAGCTGCATAAAGTACTTTGAACTTGAGAAACAACTCATGTTTCCTTAATTCAGAGTGCAGTGCCTCTCAAGTTATAGTCTGCATCCCTGAACTCTACCCTGTGTGTGTTAGCATTTTATTAGATTGTTAATTGCAACTGAATGAGTCCCCAGTCACATAAATAAGCACATTAATTTTGCTTCCCAAGAATAACATGAGCCCAAAGAACCATTCCTGCATATCAAATATGAAGGTTGTTTTTTATCAGTGACAACTTGTCACTCCAGACAAGAGGCTCAGGCTTCCTCAAGCATCTCTCTATTTCTGGACTGGTAGGGTTGCACTGGCTCATTTTTTATTATTATGTAATCTCTCATCTTCTTGTGCCCAGATTTCAGAATTTAATAAAAAGAGCTTGCAGTTTTCCTCCTTGAACCCCACACAATATTCTTCCAGGTGACTGTACCATTGCTTATGCAGTTACCTCTTCCTGAGGCTCCCTTGGCATCCCCTTACACCCACCCTTCACACCAAGATAATGGGAGGAGGTTTGTCTCTTCTACTACATGTGAACTAGCTCTTTACAAGCAAAAGTCTTTGTCTTTTCTAAGTTCTCAGCATTTTTCTCAAAAGAACTGTAATGCAAAGTGAAAGTTCAAAATATATTTAGTGAGCTGAATTCAGAGCAAAGAGCTAACATCACCTAATGTAGTAAGGGCATTAGAAGTGGGGTAGTTATGAATGAGCAGACTGAGCTTGAGAGACAAATGCCCCTCTTCACTCCTAGCTTCTTCTTAGCCAACGACAGAGCCCTGCCTTCTATTACACCCTGTCACCATCATCCATTAAACATCGACCAATGTTACCTGGTGCCCAGACTCAATAGGACATCAGAAGGTGGATGTGGAAAAAAGCAGAGTGCATGTAAAAGGTGAAAAAATCATGGAGGGAGGGAGGGAAGGAGGAAGGGAAGGAGAGAGAGAGAGAGATGGAGATATGAGGGGGGAGAGATGGAGAGGTTGAGAGAGAGATGGAGAGAGAGAGATGGATATATGAGAGAAAGATGGATATATGGAGGGCAGATAGAAAAGAAAAGCAGAGGGGTAAGAGAAGAAAAGTGGAAAATGGAAACTAGCAGTGATGAGATACTGGGAAAATCACAATGCAGACAATGAAGGATGCAAAGGGTATTCATCATGTCTGCTCCCTGAAATCTGAATCTTCATGTTATACTTGGAAAAGCTTACATATTAAAAGTATGCCAATGTATGCATTTTCTCTCCCCTCCTTTGACCCTCCATTTCAGTCTTTGGCCTCTCACCTCAAAGATTCCATTATAGTGGGGAAAAATCTCCAAGTCATTCCAGAACTAGACCCTCTATGTCACTGGATACCTCTTCCTTCCATCTTGGGGTTGTTCTCAGTTTTAAACATTGTGTGTACTCATCACTCCTTATTGGGCCCCCATGCTTTCCTTGCTTGAAGGTAGAAGCTTCTAGTTCTATTAGGTTTGCTGACTGTGTCCCCAAGACTTTCTCACTGGCCATACTACTGTGACCTTCTTGAGTTTGCTTTCCCAAATGCTTTCTTTAGTCTGCATTTTACTCATTCCACATTGTTTTAAGAAGGGAATAGTAGTCCACCCTCACTGCTAATGGTAATAGTTCAGACTCACAGAATCTTTTTGTCTTACTAATAAAATTTTTAAGTGTTTCTTTACACCAAAATCAATGAGTAACTCTGCACCTAGATGACACATTTTTATTAATTATAACTCTTTGAATGTGACAGAAATCTTAAATTTTATCTTAATTATTTTAATTAGTTTAAACCAAAAGAAGACTTTATTGGCCCATATAATCGAAGTACATGAAGGGCTAATAAATCTGGCTTAAGGGATGATGGAAACCAGAGACTCCTGTGTCACCAGGAACTTCTCTGTCCCTCCTCTCTATTCCTCTATTTTCTGTCTCTTGGGCACATTTCTGTGTACAGAAGACCTGGTTCCCACGCATCCATGCTTAGCCCATTATTTTCTTGGATATAAAAGAAATGGAGCTCTCTTTCCTCAGCTTCTATTAGAAAAAGCTTGAGGCAAAAGTATCCGGGAAGACAAATCAATAAACACTCACGGCACACGATTGCAATAAGTGGTAAATCTTTGTTGGTGATTTCTCCCGTTCACGATAAGTTGTCACTATATATGTTATGAAAAAGTTTTAACTGAATTCTAACACTACATTTAGCCTCTGAGACAAAAACTTGCTCATATTAAAAATAAACACAAAGGGTGTCCCTGCCTCAGATCTGCATAATGTCCTACAAGGATGTATCCACTTTTCACTACCACAACTGAGCAGTAGATCCCAAGAATACCTACATGGGTTATAAGATTCAGAACACTGAAAGTTATCTAATCTTACCTCCAATTCAAGGCAGAAGTCATAAGACAAACAAACAAGGGATTATTCATCTTTTACTTGTTGAGAAACTGAATAGCCTCAAAGTACCCAGGTCATAATAATTTTTTAAATTTGTAACTCATAAATTTATATTTTTTATAATAAGCCAAAATATTTCTTCCTATAACTTTTTCCATTCCTCACAGTTTTTTAAACTTTAAGACTCTGTTTATCTGTCTCTCTCTTACACACACACACACAAATACACACATGCTGAATAACCCATATTTCTATATATTTAAAGACAATCATCATGTCCTCCAAACTCTAACACTTCATATTTTCTGTTTTTCATGTCAATATATCATATTCATTCAAATAATTTATATATTTTCTAAATGCTTTTTTACCCAGTTAACATCTCTGGACAAATTCTAACTCAATACTGTTTTGAAAATGTAAACTCAAAACCAAATAAGCATATGATGTCCTCACTGAAAACATGATGAGAATGTTGACTTTATATGGGCATACTCTCAATAATAAAAATCCTACCAGCTTTGGAAGACATGCACACTTATTAGCTCTTAGTCAGTACACTACCCAGAGAATTTCACCAGATACCAGGCCTGCTGCCATTTCCTAGGGAAATCCAAACCTACTTCCTAAGGAAAGTATTCTGAGGGTCTGGAGCCCCAAAAATAGATCACAAATCAGACTTTGAAAATCAATAAAGAACAATGAGAACATATCAGATACAATAGTCAATGAATTTATTAGGTCAAACAAAACTGAATTTCCATACATTTTGTAAGAAGAATTTATGTAATTCTGAGTCAATTGTTCAAAATTATAGGCACACACTTAACATTTTGGTCATTCATTAATTTCACTGTCTAAAGGAACTAGTCTATCAGCTGGTACTTGATGCCAGACAAAGGGTGAAGAGCTGGAGGTGAGAGGCGTTTAGCTAACATTACTGATAGCAGCTCTATGTAGAGACTGAAATATTTTGCTCAAAGGGTCTGGAAACTCAACAGGTTTGTCTAGAGAAGGCTGATCTATAGGTTGGCCTGTAACAAGGAGACTGGCAGCTCCTAGAAGCCAAGTAGGTTGGATGCCAGAATCTGGATCCATAGCCCAGAGAAGGGAAGCCACAGACTCCAGAACTCATGGATCTGGAGCCCTGGGATCCACAGCCCAGTGAGTAAGAGCTTTTGGATCCATAGCCCAGGGAACGGCAGCTGCTGGACCCAATGCCCACAGACCCAGAGCAAGTCGTCTGGCAAGGACTGCAGAGTGTGGAGGTCCTCGGGCGGTGGCAGGACGTCTGGCACGAGCTGGACACCACACGGGATGTCTGGCAGCTGGTGGACTCACAGCAGTTCTCCTGACAGCCACTGTAGAGAGAGGATCCCAGCTGGCAGGTGCTGGGAGAGCATAGATCAGTGCGGTAGACCAGGTTGCTGGGGCAGGAAGAGCCACAGGAAGAACTTGGGGAGCGCAGGTATGCCCCAAAGGAGCGGGAGGAGTAGTTTCCAGAGCAGCAGTTGTAGGACATGTGGGCAGGAGATGGGAGTTTGGCTGAGTGACAGTGAAGAGATGCTCTGAGTTTCAAAGCCATGGTCTGGACTCCAAGTTATATATACTCTTAGAAATGGGTGTGTCACCATCCAGATGCTCCCTCCTCCTTGCTTGTTACTTTATGCAAGAATGCCTCTCTAGGTTATTGCTTAACTCTAATTTATCACATCTTCACATAGTTAATTGTGCTTCAATCACTCTGATACACTTTGGAAGAAGCTTCTCAGTTTCTTTCTCCAGGAATTCTCTGTGATTTGACCTTTGAAGTTATACATCATCACACTTCCAAATACCCTTCCCTTTTTTATCCACGTAGGCTGTGAGTCCTTGTCCCACCAAATGGACTTGCATAAACTTTTCCTTCACTTCCACGAGACTATCAGGACCATCAGTGGTTATTATTCAACATACTTTGTCCTTTTCTTCATGACCATATAACAATGGATTTCTCCAAATACTAATTATGCTCAGCAGACTCAACAATCTATCAGTTGAAACTTTTACTCTTTTTCTATTTGAATTAATCCATGTAATTACTGATATCTATTAATTTAGCTTAACTAAATTGTGGCTTCATTTTTTGAAGCAACTAACTTGAAGTATTAGAGCTACATGGGTCTTTAATATCTGTGGTCAACCCACACATTGAAAAATTATGCCTTGGAGAGGTTCAGTAAATGCCTCCTAAGGGCTAGGAAAGATAGAAGCTTGAACTACAGTCTCCTTTTGCAGAGTCAAGATCCAAATACTCTGCAAATATAAAAGCAAATTTAACTTTAACATGTCTCAGAAAAGAATCTATTAAGCTTATTTATACTAAGATATAAAAGCCTAATAAAGCCTTATTTACCTCTCCTAAGAATATTTGCACTGAATAGTGTTCAACAGTAGATGTCCATGCATCATTGATCTTTATGCATTTAAAGTATATTTTACCTTCTAGCCCAAGAAAGAGAAAAGAATTTGGATAACCCATACTTAGATTAATGAAAAAAAAAAAAGGAAGAAGAAGAAAAAGGGTTTCTTCTTATCTGGTTTGTGCCCATTTGTCTTCTTTAGAATCTGACATTTTATTTGGTTTAACTAAGGGGAATGGCATTTACAATTGTCATTGAAAAGAAAGCTCCTTAACTACCTGAAAATTAACTTGCTGAATTCCAAAGCACGCTGCTTTGGAGCACTTAGTTACTTTGTTTTATGATTATCTCTCCCATGCAGAATCCAAAGTGTGGCATGCATCACATGAAGAGCCCTTGTGCAATACTTAAACCATCACTCTGATTCACTGAAGTAAAATAAGTTATGCTTTATGAATGGACACCTATTAAATTTACTAAAGAAGTATGTGCCATCCCCAACACATGGGATTCCTTAAAATGCCAACCTTTAAATCCTTTAGAATGCACAGTATTTCTCTCTTCCTATTCATAGTTGATTCTGGTAAAAATAAATAGATAAATAAAAAAGGCTTTCTAATATCCGGAAGTTCTTGCTTCTCCAGGTTAGCTCCCCATGCCTGGGAATTAACATGAAAATAACTCGGGAATAAGTCAATTCCAATTAATATCACCCCACACCCATTGCTAATTAGGTGAACACTTTTCATTAGTCATTCGTGCACTTTGTACAGATACTAGTGAATAACTCATAAATGCTAATAAATGTGTCCCTCTGAAAGGAAGAAAAAGCAAAACAAAACTAGAGTGGTTTTAATAGTTCAGAAGTGGATCCTGGAACTAATAAAACACTCTGTGTACTCTACAAACACAGGCAGAGTTTTTAAGAAAAAAAATCACTATCTGGGTATGTCAGAAGAAAAATGCTATATTGCAATTTTTTTTGAAATGGAGAAATACCAATACTACATAGAATAAACCAGCATTAGAGGGCTCAGTAGCCACAAGTAACTTTATGATCTGAATTACTTGAGTATTGATTATTTTTCCAGGTCATCACATTAATGTAGTTCAGTCTTCAAACTGACAATCCCCTTTTGCAATGTTTTCAGAAATTTTTGAATACCTTTCAAACCAAGTGAATATTAGTAGAAATAGCAGAAATCCATATATTCCAGCAGGTACCTTTATCTTTCCTGTTCACTTTTCTCTTATATTCTCAAAACTGCCTTCTCTAGACCTACAAGGGACTTTTATCACCCCATCTGCAAAGGTTCTGCTTCCTAATAGCTATTCCTCACTAGGATTTTACTTTCCAAGTTCTCTCACCTGGGGAGTGATTTATCTGTTAAAGGTTATCACTAAGTATGGGCTGAAAGACCCATTTCCGGGGAAAAGAGGAGGAAAAGCATTCAACATCTCTGCTCTGGCTTCTGGCCCAGGCGCCAAGCAAGTCAGCCATGAGCTGCTACTTTCCCAGAGGTCATCCTGCTGCCCTGTTAGACTCTCTGGGTGCTGGCACTCCTCGAACATAACCACAGCCTCTTCCTGCTGCAAACTGACCATTTTAATTCTGCAGAACTGCATCATCCATAACTTTAATTGAAAAGGCCAGTGTAGCTGATTTCTAGACTCTGCTTCCAGAACTCACTGATCTTCTGACACTTGCCTTTGCCTAATTCATTTTGAAAATGGAAAAAAAAGAATACACAGAGTAAAAAGCAAACTCTAGAGCAGTTTTCTGAAATGCCTAAACTCCCAATTCTTACCATTTTGTCATATTTATTTCATCTCTCTCTCTCGCTCAATTAAAGACATAAAACATTACAGATACGATCCCTCAGTGGGCCAACCTCAGTCTTCTGCTCTTTCCTATCTTTCCACTAATGCCTTCAGTTTGAAGGAGTCTTCCAGGAAATTTTCTGCACACATATTTATAAGTGTATGTACTTTGTTGTTTTGTTATCATTATTATTTCAGATTTTATTTATTTATTTCAAAGAGAACAAAAGAATGGTGGAAGAGGGGCAGAAGGAGAGAGAGAGAATCCTCAAGCAGACTCCCCAGCAGGGAGCCCAATGCGGGGCTTGATCCCAGGACCCTGAGATCATGACCTGAGCTGAAATCAAGAGTGTGATGCTTGGGCGCCTGGGTGGCTCAGTTGGTTAAGCGACTGCCTTTGGCTCAGGTCATGATCCTGGAGTCCTGGGATCAAGTCCCGCATCGGGCTCCCTGCTCGGCAGGGAGTCTGCTTCTCCCTCTGACCCTCCCCCCTCTCATGTGCTCTCTATCTCTCATTCTCTCTCTCAAATAAATATATAAAATCTTTAAAAAAAAAAAGAGTGTGATGCTTACCTGAATGAGCCACCCAAGCACCCCTGTTTCACTATTATTGTTTTAAGTTGTAAGAATGCAGTCTTATTGCACATATATTTGTAAATGTATTTTTATGAACAATTACTTTTTTATTTTTTTAAATTTTTTAAAATTACTTTTAAAATATAGCCATGTTGATATTTATATATTTGGGTATTGTTCTATTATCACTTCAGGGGCACTTTGTCAGGCACTGTTCTAAGCACTTTATTACAAATATTAGCTCATTGAATCTTCATAATAATCCTATTCAGTACCTACTGCTGTTATTCTTATTTTAGAGATGATGAAGCTGAGACAAATAGGTTGAGTTTCTTGCCCATGGCCACTCATGTAGTAAGTAACAGAAATGGAATTTGAACCCCGATACTGGACCCATTGTCAGAGTTTGTGCAAACAAACACTCTATTATAATATAAAGATCTAGTTTGTTGTTACTGCTGTATAGAATTCTTCCATAGTAATACCACATTTTATTGATCTATGTCCTTATTATTTTTAATTTCTCACTATCACAAATCATGTGACAAGGAAGATACTTGTATTTATGTGCACATCTAGGGTTTCTGTCAGGTACACACTTAGAGGTAGACTTGCTAGGTATTTTCAATTTCATTTTCAATTTTAGTGTAGTAATTGGGAGCATAGCCCTTGGAATCAGAACGGCTGGGTTTGAATCTTGACTCTATCATTTGCTAGTTATATAACTCAGACTCTTTCAAGTTTAGTCTTTTATTATTACCTTTTATCAATTATTCTATAGAGTCATTTCTCCTTTCAAATTAATTTTTAATTCTTTGTGTATTATTTATTTTATGCCTTTATCTTTTTTTAAAAGATTTATTTGTTTATTTTAAAGAGAGAGAGAGCAGTAGGGAGAGGGGCAGAGGGAGAAGGTGAGAGAGAATTCTCAAGCAGAGTCTGCGCTGAGCAAGGAGGCTGACCCAGGGCTTGATCCCACAAACCTGAGATCATGACCTGAGCCAAAATCAAGAGTTGGATGCTTAATCCACTGAGCCACCCAGGCACCCTTGCCTTGTCTTTCATACATTACAAAAATATTTCTCCACTGCGTTGTTTGACTATCTTTTTTAAGCTCAGCTCTATTGAGATACAATTTACACATAATGAAATTCACCTCTTTTAGGCATACAGTTCAATGAGTTTTGACAAACATATAGTCAAGTAACCACCAATGCAATGGAAATACAGGACATTTCCATTATCACCCAAAGTTTCCTTGTGAGTCAATCTCTTCCCACCATATATCTGAATTTCTGTCCTTATAGTCTTTTCTTTTCTGAAATGCACTGTAAATGGATCTGTCCATTACACAGCTTTTTGTGGCTAGTTTTCCTCACAGAGTACACTGCTTTTGAGATTCATCCATGTTGTTGTACAGTCCAATGGCCCCTACCTTTTTATTGCTATGTGGTATTTCACTGTATGTATGCTATCCACTCACACCATCTATGGACATTTCGATGATTTCCAATTTGAGGCTACTAGGGTCTAAACTGCCATAACCATTGACATGCAAGTTTCTTCATAGACATATGTTTTGTTTTTTCTAGATAAATACTTGGTGGTGGGATTGCTAATTTATATGGTAACTGCATGTTTAGCATTACAAAAACACTGTGAGACCATTTTCCATTTTGCATTCCCAACAGCAAGTTCCAATGTTCCAAATCCTCAATAGCACCACGCATATTATTATTATCATTACCAT